CTGGAGGGCGCCGGATGGCCGCCACGTGCCGCCGGCCGAGAGCGCCGAGGCCGGAGGAGCTGGGCACGTCCCGCGGTCTTCCGCAGAAAGGGCGGGGCGGCTCGCCGCAGATTTTGCGCGCTTCCCTTAACCCAGACCTAATCCGTTTGCTTTCCAAAACCAGTATCAAAGCGGGCCGCGCGCCGTTGAGGTCGAATGCCCTGCGACCTGGTTGAATTCCCATTTCGTGCCTCCCTGCCCTCCAGCACTCGCTGAGCCCCAAATCCGAACTTTTCCCCACAACTTCTCTCAAGGTAATGAAAGATCCCTGCCATTACAGTCACGGCTAAGAATCCTAGATTGAAATCGGGGGATGAGAAGAGGGGACTGTGGTCTCTATATAGAATTCATAGGGTCGATAGATCTATGCATTGCCGTGGTTGTAGTTTGTTTTTGGTAACTGTTGTTTGGGTCAGATTAGGATTTGATTGCGTTACAATTCGACATACGTTGATAGGATCCAGTTTTCTTCAATTTGGTGATGTGTGTCTTACAGAACTCCCCGGGCATCTGTGTTCCAATGGCTCCCTTACCTGGGTGTGATTTCATCAGATGACGGAGCCCATTTAGGTTCTAATCTTATTAGTGAATCTTAGCTCTAATCACTAAGAGTGTGTTACTGTTTCCTCCTCTTTATTGAACGTTATGTAAAAGAAACATAGGTCCTAAACATCTATAGCTTTCTTTACATTTTCCTTTTTTTACAGAATTATTTAATTTTATTCATTTTCATTATTTTATTTATGTATTTTGGAGTTGACCAGAGAAGACAGAGAAGGAAAGTGACAAAACCAACTGCCAGGTCTGGGACTCAAACCACAGTCAGCCATGTGGGAGTCCAGCCACCTTAACCACCACACCTGACCTGCCAGCCCCACTTACAGTACATTTTCTTAACAAATATTGATAAAAATGGGACCAGCAGTTGGCATAATGGCTACGTTGCTGGACTCCCATGTAGTTGACCATGGTTCGATTTCTGGACCCGGTGGCTTAAACTCACGCCGGGCGGGCGCTTGTATGTGTGTGCCCAAGATCCCAAGAGGAGAATGGAGAAGGGATTGCAGTGTGGCCATCCCCCTGGGGGGTGATTTCTCGCTTTCTGTTTCTCTGTCTCTCTCTGTCT